AAGCCCAGGATCCAGGAGGCCGATCATGAAATCTATAAGCTCATATTTCTGCTGTGGTAAGTATTCAATCGGTTTACATCTTATGCTATGTTGATAGGAAACTAATTCGATAAGTGTATACAGGAAGAGGAAAAAATGTTGCTCTTCATTCTCAACCCACGCGATCGCCAAAAAAAAAAGATATTGTTGCTATTGTCGCGATGCACGGTGGCAAAGCAAAGGCACAGTGATGCAAAATGGCCGAACGATACGAGGTTGACCCAAAAAAGTTCAAGAAAACAAAAAAAAACAGCAACCGATTACCGTCGATTCAGTTGTGATTCATCCGCAATGGATGAGTCATCGACATTCGATTGCTGGTGTGTGTCCGCTCGTGTTTTGTAAGATGATCAGAACGCATGAACTTCTTGCCACAATGGCCACATGCAAATCGCTTCTCGCCCGTATGTGTGCGGCGATGCCGTTGCACAACTGCGTCGCTTTCTGAAACAAAAAACGCATGTTGCAACCCGCCACATTTAGCAGAATTTGATTACGACCTGATTGGCCAATAAGAGCATCCTGAATATATTCGAACGAATCGTACGACAGTCCAACGCAATAATACTAGTGGGTTTCCATTGTTATAGGGAAAGTGCGTGGAACACGCACAGAAACACGGTCCATTTTTGAGCGGGTTCGGGAGGGGGCGTGAAATATACATTAGAAACCAGTTGCTTTAATTTCGCCTATTTCTTTTAGTTCATGCATTTGGCGACCCTTCAGGCTGTTCGAACAGAAGGCCGACCTTGCCTGCAAGTATCCGCGTACCAACTGCTACTATGCAACTACAACACTTACCAGAACACCCCGGGCGCAAAAGTTAAATACTGGTGAGAATTCGCATAGTTTTGAACAGCTGACATGTTACTTCACAATATACAAATACAAGGTTGCTGCAATGTATAGCCTGTCAAGTTTAAATGAAACTTGGTGATCAATTCCTCTTCGATCTGAATTGTATACACCTTGAATAAATACGCCAAGGATACACCCTTGCTCAAATATCTCAACAGCCAGATGGGGCTTCTTGACTCCATGAATTATAATACTTCGATTTTAGGGAAGGAATATGTAACAAATTAATCCCTTGATCAAAGCAGCGCTTCAAAGAGAATGGCAGAAATTTGGAGTCATCTACCTGTGAATCACGGCTTACGGACTACTTGATTTTTCCTTAACGTTTTGACGACAATGCTGATTTGCACGTAGCTTGCTCGTGAGACCAAGAACCCCCCCGGGCCCTTCTTTGGCTGTGCCCACTGAACGCGGATAATCTTGAACGATTCCGCGACGTGATAAAATTGGGTCGCGAGGCCAGAACGAGGCGAGATGAGCCAGGGGCGGTATTCAATCCTTCCCCCAGGGGGATATATCCCCCTCCTCTGATTCAATCCTCTGGGGACAAAAAAGGGTTGCGTCATAGGACCTAGCATACCTCTGTGTTTCTACCTGCCAGACAGTTAGAGCAGCGCTACTACCCTCCACTGATGAAGCACTCTTTCCCCTGAGGGGTCGCGCTGCTCTAACTGTCTGGCAGGTAGAAACACAGAGGTATGCTAGGTCCTATGACGCAACCCTTTTTTGTCCCCCCAGAGGATTGAATCAGAGTAGGGGGATATATCCCCCTGGGGGAAGGATTGAATACCGCCCCATGTTCGTATTTTGAACATTATTGTGGTACTCATTGCATGACTAAATATAATGTAATGAGGCAAATCTGACTGGTATCACAAGCTCATGGCCAAATATGTGGAAGGATCCGTAGCTCGAAGGCACTACGCACGATCCGCTCGGAAATGAAGCCGCCGGCAAATAACTTGGCGATTTATTTGGGAAAGGGATGATACAAAGAAAAGCGTTGAATGGGTCTTCAGCTGCTTGAGGAGGTATTTCCGGCATGTTTAGTGTTGTTTTGTATCAGTCTCAAGCACAGTGTTAATTCCAAGCAACTGTCTAAAAAATCAGTGGGCCCAAATTTACCGTTTGAGTATCACGACGGGGCTAAGTTCTACAAATTGTCACGTGTATACATCTCTCAAATTTGTAGCGATGGATGTCTTCGCGTAATAATAGTATCTAAACAATACCCAAAAGATAACCGGAAAGGAATTGAGGTATTGCTCAGCTTGTTCATCGATTTTTGTGCCAAAAAACGCAAGTTCATTTGCTGCCAGCGATACGGTTCATCATGATTCCATCCCACTGTGTAGCGATAAGGAAATTGCTTGTGGTGAAATGTTGTTGGGCTTGGTAAGACCTTCTTAGTGTGAGACACAGCGTTCTTTTTCGCCAGAGTTTAACGGTGATATCTTTAAGCGCTTCAGGTCTGCTGAGCTGAGAAATACTACAAATACAGCATTCTGAACATTCTAGAAAAACAGGAGAGGTAGTGCTCCAAGCGCTTCAACCGGGTAGGTAACCACAGCTGGAGTCAGATTGTCATAGTAGTCCTTTTTGTATGAGGGTACTCATAGGGTGAATTTAATGTTTTATTTCTGAGAAAGTCATCGTTCTCAAAAAGAAGTGAAGTGTCACTACTTCTTTAATCTGTTTGAGTATTCCAACTTGTTGCTAGATGTCAGATTAAAGTTAGGTTTTTGCTATTTGGAAGTCCAGTATGCTCGCGTTTGGTCGGTTTTAATTGGTACCACCATAGCAATATGTACGCATTAGAAGGTCTTCGAAAAGTGCAACTGTCTCTTTGATGCCAAATTGGTGGAATAAAAGCTTAACCTTAGGTACCAGAAAAGGAGTGGACTGCAGAGGTGGGGGCACTTAACATGTGTATTAACCCATTCGTGACAATGTCAGCCACCGGTGGCTGACAAAGCTCTCACTCGGGACAATGGTATTACTGTGGCTGCAGGGCTTGAAATGGAATTTGGAAAGTTTTCTTCCATGGAAAGAATCTTCATACCCTCGCTCATCTACGCCAGCCCTGGGCAGAGGAAATCTCCCTCTCGGATTTTATTGAAGAAAAATCTCTGACGCTGCTGCTATTGCGCAATCCTGCGCGGTCGCGAATGGGTTAAAGTACTCAAGCCCGCAGTAGTCGCGAACTGGCGTTTGGGCGAGAGAACGTAGCCTTGGGCGATACTCCGATCCAGTAGTCTCGAATACTCCGATAGTCCGTAGGCCTTCTGTATGCGTATGCGAAAGTTGCGACACTGATTCTTAATTTGTCGCATTCTCAATGGTCTACCGTGTGTTTTTTCCAAGTTTCGCATGAATCAACTCATAATTGTCACTGTTTACCTTATCTATCCTAATTGGAATGAGTTAGGGCTGGGAATTTTGGGCAATACATTTTAACCCAGAGACCCACGATTATTTTTCATTCGCCCAAACTCCCGCGCATGAGGCTGGTATCACGAGTTGAAGCTGTGTTTGCCGGCCTTAAAGGTAATGGGTTTTTCTTGCAACTTTTGACGGAGCAGCTGTAGAGTAGGGACGAGGACCTACCTATACAACTAAACAAATTACCTTCCACTCTTAAGCTAAAATGACTACTACAAGACTCGAGCGTGAGGTAGGATGCCTCTCGTGCACTTGCGGATAGAATGTTTTATTTCACGTCGACGGAATGTTTAACCCTTTAGCGACAATGGCACCCAATGGTGGGTGCCACCCTAAATTTTCTTCTTTACCCATTTAAAACATTTTCAACATATCAGTAATTATAAGCAAGCTCCGTTACGCCTATGTTTAGCATATTTTGCAGAAATGTTTGTTACTAGCTAATTTATATGAAATTTTAGGATATGGCACTTCGCTCGGCGATGTATTAACTAGTGTTTTACATTATTAAGCTTAAGGTGAATTACAGATCAGGACCTCTACGTCTTTTCACAGTCTTAAGACACAAGGAGGAGTTTGAACTATATCAAAAATTCTACTGTACATTGAATTTCTGAGTTTTCAAACACCATCCCTTTGAAATCCGAGATTTCTTTCCAAACTTCCACTTCTAATTCCAACAATACATGATCATAAAGCTTAAGACTGCAGTCATATTTTGTTTATTGTCATAGTCAAAATTTTGATAGAAAAACTGCTTTTAGGGACAATTTTGCCCCATTTTGTGCGAGAGTTGGGCGCGCCAAAAAGAGGCGTGGTCCCACGAGCACGCTACGTGCAAATCAGCATTGTCGTCAAAACGTTAAGGAAAAATCAAGTAGTCCGTAAGCCGTGATTCACAGGTAGATGACTCCAAATTTCTGCCATTCTCTTTGAAGCGCTGCTTTGATCAAGGGATTAATTTGTTACATATTCCTTCCCTAAAATCGAAGTATTATAATTCATGGAGTCAAGAAGCCCCATCTGGCTGTTGAGATATTTGAGCAAGGGTGTATCCTTGGCGTATTTATTCAAGGTGTATACAATTCAGATCGAAGAGGAATTGATCACCAAGTTTCATTTAAACTTGACAGGCTATACGTTGCAGCAACCTTGTATTTGTATATTGTGAAGTAACATGTCAGCTGTTCAAAACTATGCGAATTCTCACCAGTATTTAACTTTTGCGCCCGGGGTGTTCTGGTAAGTGTTGTAGTTGCATAGTAGCAGTTGGTACGCGGATACTTGCAGGCAAGGTCGGCCTTCTGTTCGAACAGCCTGAAGGGTCGCCAAATGCATGAACTAAAAGAAATAGGCGAAATTAAAGCAACTGGTTTCTAATGTATATTTCACGCCCCCTCCCGAACCCGCTCAAAAATGGACCGTGTTTCTGTGCGTGTTCCACGCACTTTCCCTATAACAATGGAAACCCACTAGTATTATTGCGTTGGACTGTCGTACGATCGTTCGAAATATTCAGATGCTATTAATTGCCAATCAGTCTTAATCAAATCTGCTAAATCGTGGCGTGCAGTGCGTTTTTTGTTTCAGAAGCGACGAGTTGCAACGGCATCGCCGCACACATACGGGCGAGAAGCGATTTGCATGTGGCCATTGTGGCAAGAAGTTCATGCGTTCTGATCATCTTACAAAACACGAGCGGACACACACCAGCAATCGAATGTCGATGACTCATCCATTGCGGATGAATCACAACTGAATCGACGGTAATCGGTTGCTGTTTTTTTTTGTTTTCTTGAACTTTTTTGGGTCAACCTCGTATCGTTCGGCCATTTTGCATCACTGTGCCTTTGCTTTGCCACCGTGCATCGCGACAATAGCAACAATATCTTTTTTTTGGCGATCGCGTGGGTTGAGAATGAAGAGCAACATTTTTTCCTCTTCCTGTATACACTTATCGAATTAATTTCCTATCAACATAGCATAAGATGTAAACCGATTGGAATACTTACCACAGCAGAAATATGAGCTTATAGATTTCATGATCAGCCTCCTGGAACCTGGGCTTCCTGGAGATATTGCTTGATGTTGTTCTGCCGTATAGGTTGTTACGATGGAATTATTCGGCCGACGTTTCGAACAATTCGTCGTATTCAGGACCACTGTGTTCCACTAGCACGTGTTCACTCGATCCCTTGGACATTTTTCCGCATCTGTTCAAAGAATTGAGTGAACATGTGGCGTTGGTTGGTGGAACTGCGAGTGTCCTGCAGACGAGGAATTGTCCGAAACGTCGATCGAATAAAGAAGTTCCATCGTAACAACCTGTATGACAGAACAACACGGTGAACATATAATATGGCGCTCATTCCAAATAAGGAGGGAGGGATACGAGTGAAAGAATAACCAAAAAAGGAAAAGAAACTGTACTAAGGGGACATCGACAACTAAGTTGATTGGTAGTGACAAACCCCGTACGTTTATTCAGCAAGTAATACGATCCGACAATAATAATTCACCTGTTTTCACCTATGTCGTCCCGATTGATCCATCGAATTGCTTCGAGCGTAGCGCTTGCAGCGTAACGTCTCGCATATAAGTAAACAGTAAAGAAAGGCACACCAAGAAAGAATGATAAAAGATAGACCCCTCCTCCGCTCGAGGGACACGATGTCCTTCATTCCTTTCGTTCAGAGCTTTCGTGAAGAAGTCTGACCATCGGGCCGGCGGTCGTCCAGGTGTTCGTTTGACGTCCCGAGGGATCCAGTCGGTAACCGCTCTGGTCCAACGGTCATCGCAAAATCGCATGACGTGTCCGGCCCACCTTATCTTCGATTCCTTGGCGAAAACGGCAGCGTCCCTGATCTTCGATCGTTGGCGTAGTTCGGCACTCCGGATTCCCCTCTGCACTTGCGTGTATAGGGTTACTCCTAGCATCGTCCTCTCGACAGCGCGTTGGATAACGCTGACCGCATGCTCGTCCTGCCTGCGCAGAGTCCAAGTCTCTGAGGCGTAGGTTAGGGCAGGAAGGACAGCGGAATCGAAGAGGTGGGCACGGAGCCGGATGTTCTTCGTCTTCTTCACTACTCCCTCGATGTTCTTATACGCTCCCCAAGCCGCTCGTTTCCTCCTGCTGAGCTCTGGAGCTAGGTCGTTCATCATATTGATTTCCCGACCTAGGTACACGTAGCTGGA